ATTTAAGCCCTCTCTTCCCTTCAGCCCTTGTCGTGTCATTGATGTTATGTTGTCGTTTCCCCTTGCGTTCAGCCAGCCAGCCATTGAGTCTTTCAGTCAGTCGTCCAGCCAGCCATTCAGTCTTTCAGTCAGTCGTCCAGCCAGCCAGCCATTTTCTACCTCTGTTCTGTTCACCCACTCCTTATAATAAACCTTCACCAGTCTTCACCTACCTGCGAGTCCTGCGTTTGGGTTCCTTCTTCCTCGCCTCCACACAACGCCTGACAAACCTGACCATTAGCTGAACTCACAGGTCCTCAGGTGTATGACAGGTCACTGCCTGTCATACACAGCTGCAGCTTACAGAGACATGTGTGTTTAAATGATTATTCATTGTTCTTCATGTGTATAGAAGAGCATCATAAAGGGTAAACATTTCTCTTTTACAGCCAAATGTGTTTGCATCACTTCTCAGGTTTTCTTTAACATGATGGAGGAATAAGTACTGCAGTGTGGTTTCATGCAATCACATGAAATAAAGGACAAAGAGAGTCTACAAAAGTATAAAGATATATGTTATTATTCACATTCAGGCATCCATATCAAAAACTCTAACATTTCAACTCGAGTGAGTCCACCACTGTGCAATATCACTACAATATGTTACAATATGCATGTTTCTATGTACTGAGTATTTACTGCCATGAATTTTCAAATACTTGATAGGTGTAGGTACCATGAAGTATCTACTGTTTTTGTATTTTAAAATCACAGGCATTACAGCCTCAGAGAGAGCCAACAGTGATCAGCACTTTCTGAGAGTGGAGAGAAGAAACTTCCTTAAACAGGAAGTGACCTCTGGGAGAACCAGGCTGCATCATTCCCTCACCCAAACAGGCTGTGGTGATTTCATTTGGGGTGCAGCTGCCACGACCAACCACAAAAACGGGAGTGAAGTAAAAGCTGTTGGCAGATTATATTCATATTTGAATCTCTGTGGGTCGACCAGAACACCTGCCCAGCCTGAATCCCCACAGTGAAGAACAACGGTGCAAGTCAATGAGTCAAACTCCCAACGTTAGTTTGTTAGACCTGGGCAAGTATGATGACCTTTGCTCTATTTTAAGAAAAAATAGAGTAACACAAGAACACAGACACTCCGTTGAATGGAAATGGTGGTGACTTCCATTTAGAGGACTGAATCTGTCCCACATCCTCCACGTACACAGATTTCATTTATTTATTTATTTTTTTGCTTTCACAGTTGGCCTCGCTGCAAACGTGGAAATAATCATATGATGTTTCTCATTCTGTACATTCACCTTTAAAATAAAGGTGAATGTACAGAATGTTAATAATAAATATATAATAATAATAATGTTTGTAATCTGAACAGTCTATCATTGTTTTCGCACCTGCTCAGCTTCACTTTTATTACCTGATAGAGCACGGCAGTGACCTCACTCTATACCAAAATCTCACAACTCCAAAATATTAATGAAAAACTGTTCATTTTATACTTTATAACCACATTACAAAAAAAGAAAAACAGAGCTGTTCGCATATTTAACTGATTAGAAAGCAGACTCTACAGCTGAAGTTCAAAGCTTCAAAGTCAGACACATCGTTTCCTGTTAGAACAAACTGGCCACTCTGTGTGCTGAACTAAAATTATAATAATACATGAAAACACTTCACATTTTACACTTCATGATGTTCATAACAGCTCATTCGTAATCAGAGAGAAACTCCGAGAACAACACGAGGCCACGAGGAAGACTCAGACAAATCCAGGAGCTCAGGATTAAAGTTAAAATATGCTGCTTTGTTTTAAGATAAAAGTCTGAATATTATAAAGTGATGCTAAGTTGTGACATATTTAAGAATAAGTTAGCATTTTCACAAGAAGAGTCAAAGCATTTTACTGTTTTGCTGAAGTTCTGACATATTTCAAGAATAAAATTGTAATTTTATATCTGAGTCTTTATATTTTTAGATTAAAAATTTGTAGATTAAATAAAGTTTATACAGATTAAAACATTTGACTTTTTGATTAAACCACTGAAGCTGTAACTCAGAGTCATAACACTGTGAATATGGTGTTTTTGTCTGAAAGCTTTTAATCCACAGCTATTGTTCAAGCTGAAAGCTGCAAAAACAGGAACTGCTAACACAGACGTCTTGTGGTTGTACGAGTAACTGCAAGTAGTTTAGAATTTATCACCATTGTATCCATGGAAACAAGCTCATGAACTCATTTTTTGTGTCGTGGATTGCTGAGGTCGGCACACTCACGGTTGATCAGATTTGTTGTGCTCGTCAAGTCTTTCTCTAAATAATAAAAATTCACCACCTAGTTCAGTTTGATCGAATGAAATGACGACTTTGTTCTGACGTGATTTCATTGTGTTAAATGACCTGAAATTGAAGTTATCTCTTCTACTGGCCTCGGGGTTTTGCTTCATCGTTTTCTCAGATCGACCCAGCCTGAAACCCTCGTGAGATTTTATGATCGTATTTGACTGTTAAAAAAACCAACCAAATGAATCTACTTTAGATGACCCATAACCTCCTTCACAGAGGTAGCAACCCTATGTAGCTTCTGTGGACGACATATTTGAAACTCATTTGGAAAAACTCTAAACTTTGGATGATTTCAGAGATGTGAGGTTTACACACACTGGCCGGTCTGGAGCGGTTTCTGGTCCAGCCTGGATGGAGATGTGCTCCATCTTTCTGTGCTATAAATAAGCTGTAATCATCAGGTAACAGAAAAGTCAACTCCCTCAGCTCTAAAGAATCTGAGCAGGGCAGGATGCCAGCTAAATGTTAGAAAGATGAGCTTGTAAGTGATCAGCACTCCTCTCCTAACGCTTCACTGTTGTTACATTTACACAAACACACACTGTACATGTCCATGCCAAGTCCATTTGTTCTCATTCATAAATCAAGGACTTTCATCCAGAGGGGCTGGTGTCACTGGTTGGCCTCCTCTTCCTCAGGTCTGTCTGAGTGCAGGTCTGCTCCTCTTTTCCCAGAATGCAGTCTTGTATCCTCTCAGCTGTTTGTCCTTCTTCCTCTTCACAGGAGCGTTCTCAGCTCTGAGGACAAAGAGAGGACACGTCTCTGAGTGTTCTCAGTCCACAATGTGTCTTCAATAGTGTGTGTGTCACATGTGCTTACCTTGGTTTCTCCTGGACGCTGCAGAACTTCATGCACTCAGCATCCTCTGAATCCGTGCAGCGGCAGCGGCTCAGCTCCCTCCTCACTCGCACCGATCCAAACCCGTAAGGCACCAGCTGGCTGGAAGAGTCAGAGTCAGATATTCACTGTCAGATATGATGGAGGCACTGCAAACATGCATTAAACACACTCGCAGTTCTCCTGTCCGTCATCAGATATGTGCAGAGTCTGTGCAGCGGAGCATGATCACGCCAGCAGCCACACTGGCTTCAAGTTAAATCACTGCCTGATGGCATTTCTGACATATTTTGGTGTTTTCTGTTCAGAGGGAGGAACTGATGATGTGCCCACAATCTTCCTATAAGACTGAGTAAACAAACTCCTAAAAGTTCTGGTTCCATATACATCTGCACCTTCAAATGTGCAACAGATAGGTTTGACACAGGAGGCAAGTTCTGCTGTCCTGCGGGAAGGACCTGCTTACAGATTTCCTTGTTTAGATTTAAGGGAATTTTTAGAAGAGAGGTTGAACAGGGTTTCATGCACTGGTGCTTGTAATAAATCCCAGTCTGTAGGCAGAGTAGTTAAAGCTAATCAGAGCCTTTGGATGACCGCAGTAATAAACATGCCGTTTACACTGCTCTCCAGGCAGCACGGCAGAAATCCACAGGCGACAATGTCCAGTCAGACTTTCATGGAACTTATCAGCATTTTGATTTTGAGCCGAATCAAATCCAAATACATGTCACACTGAAGAACACATATAGTATAGACTGGACACTGAAAGCTCCAAGTCTGTATAGTCACATGGATTCTGCTTTGCGTTTTGGACTGCTGGTATGTTTGTAGAGAATATCACAGCCATTATAACAAATCCATCCTGGTATGGCCTCTTGAAGAGATGGCAGTTGTTAATTAAGCTTTAGCATCACAACCAAAGTAAGACTGTGTTTCCAAATCTTACCGATACTTAGCGTCAGTTTGTTTTGATTTGAAGTGTGTAAGAGTATTTTTACTGTTGCAGCTGTTGCAGGTGAAGCTAAACTGAGTTAGAGAGTTTGTCCACACTAGTGACAGGTATCAAGCTCAACAAATTATGATATTCACTTAGTTCACCACTAAACTAACATGATGACTGAGGACGGTGATGATGGTGGCTGACATTTCCAGATGTGTTGGGAGCAGATCATCCTGTGCGGTCATTGAGCAAGGTCACAGGTGAGAAGAGTAAGAAAGAGGTCATCCGTCGTCTTTGGTGAGCGATCTCAGTCGGTGACTCCAGCTTTCTCAGTGTATTATTTACTCTCTGTTATTTAAGAAAGGTTATTATTGTTATCATTGTCATTTTTGGGCACTTTTCTGATTGCAGCTATATTTATCTGTGAGCATGGTGCTGATATATAAGAGCCATAGTGCTTTCACACTTTGGCTTAAAGGATGCTGCGATTTAGTTCTGTTTGTTTGCACTGATGTGTCTTCAGATTATTTACTGTTCGTCTCAAACCTTTGCTCTTACTGGCATGTGAGTGTGAACTCTGTGCATACATGACAGTGAGCACACCTCTGTCAGTTTTTTCTTTCAATAAACATGAACATTAGACATAATTGTACAAAATCTCTGGAAGTCGCACCTTTTATATCACTTTTATAATGAACATTATGCTATGACACGCTCTCTGTCAATACTGTCGGCATTTCACAGTAGTTTCAAAACTTCTGATGATGCCCTTCCAAGCGGTCGGAGGATAAATCTGCAAGGTAATGTGATAAATGAAGTCGTGGAAGGCAGACATATGAATGTGATGCTGTGGGTGTTCTGACCTTGTGCTAAAAGTAGCTCAATTTTATAGTTTCGTGGATTAAGACCTCACTCTTCCAGGTGAAAGCTGGCTGTGTGGCTCGGCTTAATTTTTTGCACTTGTTACCTTACTCAGGCCCTGAAAAAATGACTCTCACTCCCTCTGTGGAACACATGCAGACAGCTGTTGGTACACTGCTCCAGAGTTGAGCTGTTCATAATTATCTATCACAGAAACAAACATCAAGCATCTGCACCTCATTTATGGCCAAAGACACAACAATGCTGCTTTTTTTTAAATACGCATTGAAACTGATATATCTCTCCACAACCCTGAAATCCATCAAATATGTGCGCGTGTAACTTCCTTAAAAACTTGTTTCAGCCATTGTTTTTACTGTGCAACTGCTAACTCGTGTACAATAAAGGAATTAAGCAAAAACCATAAACAGTTAAATAAATAAGTCAGCAGTTTTTATACAGATGTACCATTAACTCGTGTGATAATATTTTAAAGGTGAGTAATTTGATCAAATGTAATAACATATTCAAGTGTCAGTCACTCAGACAGTAGCGGACACGGGCGGTTGCCCGGGGCGGCAGCGTGGTGGGGGGCGGCATCACGGGCATCGGAAAAAAAGAAAAGAAAAATTACTCGTACTCATGCCGCTCCGACGTCATGCCAGCGCATATTGGGAATGGCATAGGCACCGATCGGTTTTCTATTGCCCATTTGCTGTGAGTAAGGGCACCCTCCGTTTGCGAGGTGCGCCTGCTGCATGCGGCACAGGGAGGAGAGGGCGGGGCGGCGGGGGATTCTCTGGCTGGCTGGAGCAGCATCTAATAACCAACCCGCAAAATAAAACAAACAAACAAAAAAAACCCAACAAACACGAAAACACCAGACATTATGATACAGACTTATAATTTGCACCGATGGTTTTTCGAAATTCTATATAGTGAGCGCTAGAGCTCTCGGTGCGCCTGCTCGCTGCTGAAATCAAAGTAAACTTTATTGTCATCTCCGCTACATACAGAGAGACGAGACGACGAGGCTCCAGTTACAGCAGTGCAAGTAAACAAACAATGTATATAAGAAGAGTAAGAAAATAATATACACTTAAGACTAGGGGTAAAGGCATAGCCAGAGGAAGTGTTCGGCCAGGACGCCAAACAGGCTAGGACGGCCACTGCGCTCAGATATGTGTTTGCTTGTGTGGAGTTTTATTCTGCAGCTCAGACAAAGAAGAAGATGACCTATGCTACACTAATAAGGCACACAGGTGAGATCATCACATACAGAGGCTGCAGAGCACAATGGTAATGATTCTCAACACAGCACACTGAGTTTATATCTGAAACTCAATACAACATTATAAAACTAAACCATGTACAAGTGGGCAAGCCCAACCTAGCCCTGCTTTCCTTTTGTCAGATTTTCTAATGCCCACCTGGCCTGGTCTGAAACGACCTGTGATTGGCCAGAATCTCACATCACAGAGTGCTCCCCCTGCTGGTCTAAAATCAGGGCTGGGAGGGGGAGCGAGAGTGTAGTCCCCTCTGAGACTGCTTCATTTACAATTTGCTGAAACACTACTGAGGATTTTGTCTGTCGAGAGATGCCAGAAATATGTCTGCTGGAAAAATGAAGAATGAAGAAACACAATTTCGCTGAAGAAATTTATGTTTGGTGTTTAGATTTGGGCCAGACTTTTTGCGAAACAGTGTATATTTTTAACTTTCTGGATCAAAATAAAATGGCACACGGAGTTAAGAGAGATATATCTCCTTTGTGGAACTAACAACAACCCACAGACGTCGGAAAGATGACAAACTCCCCTTCTAGTTCAGCCAAGAGTATGAATAGCTATCTTAATCTTTAACAGTTCAATCCTTTTTGAGGTTAAGCTATCAGGCAACGTTCACAGACCATCAGCCAGAGCTTCATGTAAGCAACCTGTAGAGATCAGTAACCACTGATAAATAATTCAAACAGATAAACCAGGGAGCATTCGGCTACAGCAGTGGTTCCCAAACTTTTTTTGCTGGGCCCCCCTTTGTTTTACACGAAAAACGTTCGCGCATTAACACATCCTCCAACCACACACACCCATATTTTGCTCCATTGCAGTTTATTTCACACCTCAAACATTTAGTAAACAATTAAGTAAATACAAGTAAACTGGTAAACTGCAATAAATGACAGGTAGTAATAAAATAAACTACTAACTCTTTTACGCTGTCCGCACCTACACGAGTATTTTTGAAAACGCAGCCGTTTCATCCACACGTAAACGGCGTTTCGAATCACCGAAAACGGAGGATTTTTAAAACGAATACAGAGGAATACAGAGTTTGTCTGGCAACGTCAAAGGTATGTGCCTCTTTTCACGTCAGGCTGTACGCCATGTTATTGTTTACATGAGATGAATTGCAGAATGGCAGATAGAGACGAAATACTGTTACTGTTAATCTGACTGTCTTCAGGTTTTACAAGCAGTTACTGTCCCTCCATTTACAAAGGCAGAAGCTTCTTATTTTACATGTAGTTGTTTTTTTCTTCTTCTGTGTAATAATATTCAACATTGCTATCAATACATTTTTCAAAAAAATGCCTCTCTGTGCAAAATGGGTTTAAAAACATAAACAGCTGCTGGATGCTGTTTGTCCGTGATTTGAACAGGGAACAAATTGTCAGGATCAGCCTGATATTATTTTTATCTCGCTGTAACTTTACTGTATAAAGAGCTAACGTCTCCAAAATATCAGGAGTAGTTAGTCATTACAACAAGTGTTTGTGAACTAAAAATCAAGAATGTGGGATACTGTTTGTCCGTGATTTGAACAGCCCAGCGCTGCTCCCAAGAAGGGAAAACCAATTCTGCAGGGGAGACCAACCTCGGCACTTGTGCAGGTGAAACCAAAGGGAAGATATGCTTCACCATATTTTCTAGTCTTTGGCTTAGAATGAAGTTGGTTTGGAAACATATTCAGCGATGCTTCATCTCCTGCTTTGCGTTTCTGTGGGCGCCCGTGCAGCGTCCAAGCGTTTTGTTTTTTTCCTTTTCATACTGCGCCCCCCCTGCCATGGCTCTGCGCCCTCCCTAGGGGACGGGCCCCGCACTTTGGGAAGGTCTGGGCTACAGCATGCACATTGATGCTCTGCGGTCAGAATTGAGTCCCTGCTTCAGACCCGCAATCAAAATCCTCGTCTCTGCTGCTAGTTTGCTATTCGTTAGTATTCCCTGGGCATGTTAAACGTTTGGAACATATTTCCCAGCAATCCATCAGTTACTTCCAAAAATGTACTCTCAACCAGAGT